AAGCAAAATTAGTAGCTGAGCAATTTTACTTAATATATAGGCTGCCGACAAGAAAAATAAAAGCTTATCTGTTTCCGTTAATATTACGAATTAGCTTCAGACACTAACAGCACCTGTTTTACTAGCATGAGTTACAGTTAGAAATGGAGCGTTGGGTAAAATTAGTTCTATATAAAGGACTGTAAATCAACTTGAATATACAAACAAAAAAGTAATATTATACCGTAAAGTGCCATACGATAGATCCTCCTATGAGTTGTTCTGCGGATAGAATTCTATTTATATCCGGATGCTATTCATATTATATATCGAATAATAGCATCTTTACGCTTTGAAGAATATCTAGCTGGTGTAAACATTGAAGACTGGTAAAGTTGAACGAGAAATATACAGCGGGTATATCTCTAGTCTTTGTAAATACCCGGATGCATTAGTTGGCACTTTACGGTAATCTTTTTAATAATATTTGCTCCAGTTCGTGTAATATGTTTATTATAAAATCCAATTTGTATCCGGAGCTTTTTTAATACTTGCTCCAGTTCGTGTAATATGTTTATTATAAAAATCCAATTTGTATCCGGAGCTTTTTTAATATTTCTTGTAGTCTTTTCCATAAATTTTGTACAAACTAAACACATCAAACATGTTGGACAAGAATTCGAACGAAAATTTAATACCGTTGATATTATCGTTATAACGATCTGTAAACAAAAATATATAGCTTTTATTAGTATCATGCCGGAATCAACTTAATCTAATCGGCCGAAAAGCTAATTTTTTCAGGCCAGGAATTAGAAATATTTTTTTGGTACTACCATATTTATCCATTGCGCTGCGTCCGGACAAAAATAAATAAGGGACCGCTTAATAAATACAGGGTGTTATAAACATGGAGACAAAACAATAATCACAATAGCGTCATGTATAGGGATGGGTTCGACTACGAACGGCTACTATTAATAGCCAATTTGCTAAATACTGAGATGATTTTTTGTTCTTGAGCTTTTAATTAAAGTTGTTCAGAATTAAATTCTGGTCATCCCAAATTATAAGTAGAAAGAACGATACCTTCTCTGGAACTCAGAATTTAAGATTTATTAACGTTATAGTCGACTAATAGCCGACGGCTAGTAGCCGGCTATGACGTTAACAAATCTTAAAATTCTGAGTTCCAGAGAAGGTATCGTTCTTTCTACTTATAATATGGGATGACCATAATTTAATTCTGAACAACTTTAATTAAAAGCTCAGGAACAAAAAATCATCTAAGTATTTGGCAAATTGGCTATGAATAATCGTAGCCGTTCGTAGTCGAGCCCATCCCTAATCGGAATGTTGCAAAATCACATCAAAGAAAACGTGACTTCTCGTCGAGTACAAAAAAATGTGACTCTCGAACTTGATGATCTGCATTTTAATATAAATACTGAAATATGTACCACTATCAGTATAATTAGGGTTTGTAAACTTACGTTTAAGTTCTGAACTCCGACCTGGAATTTTGGGGATTGATCTGTAAAAGCTGAATTAGGGTACAGTAGCGCAATTACATATCCGTTATGTCTGGTGGTCCTTATACGCAGCAGATTAAATTCTCTATAAAAGTGGCGTGAGTACCTCCCGTTTCTACAATTCTTTCAAACACTTTATTAAAGATTTATTAAAGATGCAATTATACGGACTCATTTTCGTTGTAGAAAATTGTTCATATCCTGTCCCTTTGCAAGATGTTTCAGTTGAATCGAATGGTAATAATTTTTTTTTTCATATTATATTTAAATTTACTGTATATATATTTTCCTTTATATATTGCTAATGTTTCTTTTAAATTTAATTAGTCGTTGATATGATAACCGAAAGTAATTAATTTACATATCATATAATATTATTTTTCGTATAATTTTATAAACCTTACATGTCTAATCTAGCAACGGTTTGTCAGACCTATAAAAATGTTGAACAAAAAACAATTGAAGCCATCTATAAGTTTCCACTTCACGAAGCCGCAGCAGTTTGTGGTTTTGAAGCTGAAATTGACGGAAAGAAAAAAGTTAAAGGAATAGTCAAAGAAGCAAAGCAAGCTGCAAAGGAGTATAACGAAGCTATTCAGGTAACATTAAGTAACCATATTTAAATTTTTGCACCATACATACGCTTTTTTTACCACATAAATATTTACTTACACAGCAAGGTCATGGCGCTTATCTACTTGAAGAAGAACTCCAAGATATTTTCCAATGCTCTATTGGTAATATTACAGCCGGTCAAACTGTTGTTATCAAAATTACATATGTAACCGAACTAAAACATGATGCTGAATCTGAAAGTGTTCGGTTTGTTTTCCCTACTGCTATCGCGCCACGATATGGCTCATCCGATTCTTCTTCTTCAAATGATGGGAAAAAGCTTGTTCCTGATGTGGTGTCTTATACTTATAAGACTGATTACTATTTAAAGCTTGCTATTACATGTAGAATGACATCTGTTATTCAAAGTATCGAATCACCATCTCATCATATTTCGGTAGAATTAAATATTGATGGTAATCCAAATGTTTCAAAGATTACTCTAGCCGAGCAAATTACTTTTTTAGAAAAAGATTTTATACTTGTTGTTAAAAGTCTGGGTCTCGATCAGCCAAGGTAACGATATTTTAACATACTATAATACAGTATTATAATTATTTATCTCCTTTAATTAATGAGGCTTTTTTTTTTTCTGACTTTAGGGCCTTTGTTGAATATAACCCTAAGACGGAAACTAATTGTGTTATGCTAACTTTGGTACCAAAGTTTGCCATTAATGAAGTAATGTCCGAATTAATTTTTGTAATTGATAGGTAAATTTCAAAAGATACATA